GTGTGTAAAATCGTCTGTGTGTAAAAGCGTCTGTGTGTAAAAGCGTCTGTGTGTAAAAGCGTCTGTGTGTAAAAGCTTCTGTGTGTAAAAGCGTCTGGGTGTAAAAGCTTCTGTGTGTAAAGGCTCCTGTGTGTAAAAGGGTCTGCGTGTAAAAGTCTCTGTGTGTAAAGGTTTCTGTGTGTAAAAGCGTCTGTGTGTAAAAGCGTCTGTGTGTAAAAGCGTCTGTGTGTAAAAGCGTCTGTGTGTAAAAGCGTCTGTGTGTAAAAGCGTCTGTGTGTAAATGCGTCTGTGTGTAACAGCTTCTGTGCAAAAGCGTCTGCGTGTGAAAAACAATACGAAGGATAGGATGCAAACTAGTGTTTTGTACTTGTAATATATTGTCTTGATACTGCTTGTCTCGCCTGCCTAAAATACATCTTTAATATATTGTCTTGCAATATAATGTCTCAATACTAACAACAGAAGACCCTGCTCTCTCTCTCTCTCTCCCTCTTTCTCTCTCTCTCTCTCTCTCCCTCTCTCTCTCTCTCTCCCTTTCTCTCTATCTATGTCTCTCTGTGGTTGCAAGACACGTGTCATATGATGCCCTTTACCAAGCAGCACAGTGCATATGCATGGGTTGTCACATGTATCCTCTTCTTAATCAATCTTACTTTTCACAACTTACCCCTCCATAGCTCTTATATAATTCACCAACCTATCACCGACTATTTTTTACGACTACCATACACTCAGAGCTGCTTGAAAAACGTCTTTTTCGCTCTCGGGCCAACCGTCGTCTAGTTTAAGGAGCTGTCTCATGCTGTTCAAGTTGTCAAAGCCATTGGCAGGGCCACGCCAAACGGATTAGTCATGAAATAAGGAATAGAAAAAAATGGGACGAAAGACACATGCAGCATTTACCTCTGAAAACACATTGTTTCGTGCACTTTGGAATAAGTTGCGAATTAGGGAATACAAAAAATGGGACGAAATACACATGCAGCACATGTACCTGTGAAAATACAGTGTTTCGTGCACTCTGGAATAAGTTGCGAATTAGGGAATAGAAAAAAATGGGACAAGAGGCACATGCAGCACATGCACCTGTGAAAACACAATATTTCCTCTCCGTTGGCATAAGTTGCGAATGAGGGAATAGAAAAAATGGGACGAGAGGCACATGCAGCACATGTACCTGTGAAAATACAATATTTTCTACCCTTGGGAATAAGTTGCGAATTAGGGAATAGTGTTCCCGAATAGAATTGAAAATGACAGAAACGGAAACAAAGCAACTGCATCAGAAAGCCAGGACCTTTTGCTATGCAGTTGGCTTTGCGGCTGTGTTTCTGTCAGATGCCAATCGCATCCATCTCAGAATAGTTTCACAGAAACTCTGAAATGCAGTGGTGGTGTCACACGTCAAAATCCACCCAACCCGCCGGAGCGTTCGGCTCGCGCGAGGAAAAGAAAATTAAGGGTTAAGGTGGGAGAACACCACTGTACCAGAAAGTCAGCCGCAACCACCTGGCTCCAGAGGACCTTAGGTGGCGTGATCATCGGTCTTACGACGTTTTGAATTTTTGGATAGGACAGGGGCGTACATCTGGTCATCCAGAAGAGCCCATAGAAAATTAAAATGGGAAAAAGCCTCTCTCACTGGTAGTTCGCGGTCAGGACGGAACCCAGTGAAGTCAGGATGAGTGAGTTCATCAGCCCATTTGGTTGTAGTCCCTCTTCATGTGTGAAGGAGCAATTTGAACCCCAGCCGCGTGGATCATGACAATGAGTTGCATGAGGAAAGC